ACAAACCTCCAACTGAACAACAAATCTCCACCACCGACACTAAAAAGTATTCATCCGAGCTATTAATCTTCTACAATATTTTGGAAATACTAAAGTGTATTATAATGAACAAAACCTGTTTAGTTGATCTCTGACATGGTTTGGCTGAAATAATTCTTATTTTAGTAAATCTAATCAATATTCTGTCAAATATTTAAAAAAATATATGACTAAAATACATAACACATACTACTGGAATGAACAAGATCACGAATGAGGGAAAATCGTGCGTAATTCGTACGAAATTGCAGAGCACCTCACTAAAATTTGAGAATCATATAAGAAATAGTCAATCCATTATCTTAAACTTGACTGTTTCTGTTCCAAACATCAATCAATTGTCTCCGATTTCATTGTTCATGCATTTTCATACCAATTGCGTTCCGTTCCCGTTCTTTCCCTATCGATCTTCTATTGAAATACATTCTATGCCTGACCATCTTTATATACTACTTATGTGGATATAAGTAACCTATACCACACTGCTTTATCATTGATGATACTAATTAAAAAGACACAAATCAGAGTATCATTATTTCATCTTTCATTATTGTGCAATAACTATCATTCTATTAAGTATTTTTATGCTTGTGAATTCAATGTATAGTAACAATTAAAATTTGTCCTTTAACATTTATCAGATATCTTGTCTTGATAAAAGTATATTTAAAGTATATGTAATATTCAAAGTATTCTACAAATTTTCTACTTTTGAAATTCTTCCATAGTGTAGTTGCCTTTAGTTTGAATCTATCAAATTAGAATATGAATTATGGTTCGTGAGGTGTCTGCTTCATTAACAATAGTATAGTAAATGATTATCATTATGTTTATCTAGGTGTATTACTATACACAATGAAACTTGTAACTACATGTTATATCAAGACATCGGAAAAGACTGCATATATGTCACAATGTAATCTTGAATGTCAAAAAACAACAAACTTTTATAAATAAATTTGATACATCTTAAACAGGTTTAATGTCTTTCTGGATTCATTACCTAAATGGGTGACTCATTTAAAATGATAGGTAATAAACGAACACTCATACTCAGTAGCATTCAGTTGATAAGTCATAAATTCAATGATATATGCTTCTTGGATTTCATCTGTAAACTTTAAGTTTATTCATCACTGAAAACTAAAAAAAATATTTCTGTTAATTTAATGCTGAAGAATGCCAAAATACGGCAAAACGGCCATCCAGTGCTTTCAGATGGTCAAGCTTCAAATGACTCATGAATTCAACTATTAAATTACTAAAATATCCACAAAAATCACTTTCTGATAATAATTTCAATAATTGAAATAATGCTCCAATTGAAGATAGACTACTATGGAAAAATTAGAAACATTGGATGGCCATTTCGTCCTAGTATGCTACTTCTCAGCACTGTGCATCGACGATCCCGCCCTCCGTGAGAGTCGAACCCAGGATCTACAGGTCTGGCGCGCGAATGCCTAACTTCTAAACCACTGGGTCGGCATCTGACGATGTTAATATCTAACTTCAACTAATCCACGAAATTGAGCGACACATCCACCATTGTCTTCAGTGAGTTACTATCTCATGGTTAGGCGCTCGCGCGCAGAACTGATAGGTCCTAGGTTCGAATCTCAAGGGGGTGGCGGTACCGTGGATACGCACTGCCGAAAACTTCCATACTAGGAATAAACGGCCGTCCACTGTTTCCAGGTTTTCCACGGTGGTCTAGCTTCAACTGAAATTACTAAAATCTCCTCCAAACCCCTTCTGATGATAATAATTTAGTGATCGTTTATCAGTGTAATGTTTAAGCGTATATTATAATATATTAGTGTTCCAATAAATTGTTTGCTAACATTGTCAAAAAGGCAAGTATATAAGTCAATTAGATCGATAAACGATGTATTTTTACTATCTTGATGATTACATTGTCAATACTATCTAAAATGGGACATTCTATTATTTGTACAAAAACTTTGATTTAGTTCATATTTATTGATAAATGTAAATATTTAGACATTTGTAAATCATGAAGTGAATTTAGTTAGACTGAGATTCGGTACACGTGACCTCATCAAGATTTGGTCAAAAGACCATCTGCTCTCTTAGCAACATCTTAGGCTTTAGATCATTCAGACTGTACGCAGTGATTTGTACTTCTACTTTAGTAAGTCCGTAATAATTCTTCAATATCTTTCAATGTTGATAGTGGATAACTAAGTTATACATTACATTGTTGAATTCCACTAGTCACAGCATCTGATTAAACCATTGCCAATTGCCTCTTAAAATTTATCATCAATGAGAACATAAATAACTTTATATATATCTATAACGCTTAATGCATGAATAATTTTGTGAATAAGCTTGTATTTTAAAGGCAATTTTCACCATTCAACAAAAAAAGAGTTTAGTTGGAAACAAATCGTTTGTGAATCACGCAAAGTAACATTAAATAATTCCATCTATGATTATTTTTTAGCAATGCAAAATCCTACAACGGTGAAAAAAGAATAAGCATTAAGAATGTTAAAGTCTGATGTTCATTCATATTATGTTACAAAATTACCCCTATGAAATATATAAACATGATATAATTTCTCTCTGAATGTGATTAACTGTACAAATCTTTAATTCAGATGAATAAGTCATTGTAATGCTAGTTGCTAGAGGATAACAAATTGTCATTTAATGAGGTTATATTTCTTTTTTTTTTCTCTGAATGCGCCAGTTTAGTTTGAAGTTACTTTATAGAGATTTGTCTAGCCTCATATCCTTTTGATGAAAAAAAATAACGGCGAGATTATAATTTATGGAAGAACCAATCACGTATAAGATAATAGGACTCGGATTTTGGCACGAAATTCGCCCATCCATTTGGTTAAGTAGAGTTTTGGCATTATAACTGATGTCAGTTCATGATTAAAACCTTAAATCTAATTCCTAACCCTAAACATCAACTGTAAATCATCATTCGAAATCTTCACACTAATTTATAACCATCATTTGATCCTAGTTATTAGGTGAACACTTTCAAGGTCAGTTTAGCACCTCTCAAATGTTGTCCATAAATTGTAGTCTCACCAAAATAATCTCCAGTACACTTAATATGTTAGTTATAATTTATCACTGATCAGTAAATTGATTAATATGTGTTTGTTTTTTACTCTGAACGTTCTATCATTGAAATTACTTATAATTAATGTTTATTATACGAATTGTCAATCACTCATTGTTCAATGGTCTTTTTTTCTTAAAACAATGTAATCTATTTAGGCTGAAATAGTTTATGAAACTATTCATACATGATAATATTAGTTAAGCGTATAAAATTTTCATATACATATATATATAAAGTCAAACTGTATAGTGTACTACTGATGTCGACTGATATAAGTAGTATGTATCATAAAGTGAAAATGAAATGCCTGGCAGCAGAAAGTTATGTAGATCAAAGAAAAGACAACAAAGACTGGTTAGTTTAAAAACGAAAGAACAATGAATTTTGAGACGTTTGATTGATATTCGCGAAAGAAACAATTAAGTTTGTGGCAAATAATTAACGTTTTGCAAATGAAGTATTTACTGTATGCTTCTCAGATTTTAGTAACATGCTCTGTAATTTTGTGTTCGAACATATTCGACTGTCATTACTTGTGTCATCATTCACTACAATACCGACCAAATATTATACGTAAATAATACTAAACGAATGTCATCATATAAATAACATAATGAGTTAAAATACTACCTGAAGTTTTACTTCATCGAAATATTTAGACGCTGTTATTGCTAACGATATACAATTCAGTGAAGTCATTTGATTCTCTAAACTTTTGATATTGGTTTATTTAAGCTCTAGATTTATTTTATTAATTAAAGCTATCACCATTGTAAATTACGCGCTTGCTGATCATTAACAGCTAACACTATATAGTGACACAAAATTCCAGTTTCATCATAAGCCAAATCTTTAATTTTTTTAATGTTATGTACCAAGGGTAAGTTTGCTAAATTGATATAAGCGCACAAATTTTTATGCTCCTAATCATAGAGTCTACTTAAATATGAATTTAGTCCTTAAAATTAGTTAAATCTTTTGGATTGGACTGATGAGTATTGTGTATATGAAAAATAAAATTGTCGTACAAAATCATGTTGAACTATTCGACAATTGAATTCGTAAGTGTATATTCTATAGTTAAGGTGTAATACCTGTCATTCACATATGGATACTAGACTTCTGTTAAAACCCTATTTTTGGTACATGTCATAATATTGGTCATAAACAATAATTTATTTCTGATTAGAAGTTTAAATATATACTTACAAGAATGTTGATTATCGTTTTGCGTAGTCCGTTAAAGATACCATACTTCTAAATGAATTTACATCTGATTACACATTTTACATGTCCGACATTAATATCTGACCTAAAACGTCCTAGTGGAACTACTGGGTAATGGAGATAGACTTATTAGTTAACTTGGGCAGTCAGTATAGTTCGGACTAATTCACTAATCTACTGTAACCTGAATCATATGCTCCAAATGCTTCAGGATTTAAGTAACTTTGTTAAAACTTCTCAGTAAAATTAATTTATAAATCCTGTCTATTTTAATTGTAAACTATTATTTTATCATTTTTACACAAGCCTTTAATTTAAGCTAATGATTTAGTCGTTTCCAGAAAAGATATATGTCAAGTAAATATTATCAAGAGAATAACAATTAAAATTGAATAATTCAGAAACATGCTCTGTATAAGATTGTGGAGAATATCAAGTTTTTGATTGAGATCATGAACCGATTGATATTAGACCACCATTGAAAACCTGGAAGTATTGAACGGCCATCCAATGGTCTACCATCAATCAACTCATGATCTCAATTCAAAAGAAAAAATTCCTTTAAATTTATCAAAAATTTATATTTATCAATCATTTTGAAAAAATATCAATCCAATGAACTTACCAAATAACGCGAGATCAAATTTCATCCCATAATCAATTTATTATATAATATGCATATGTATTTTCAAGTAATAAACACAAAGATTATTACTATGATTAAGTTAGTATTATTTTTATTTTTTCTATTTTTTATATGAAATAAAATCAAAATAATAAATATGTTTATCCTTAGAATATCAGTTTCAGTTCCAGTTTGGAAAGAATAGGAGGCTTGATGGCCTAAGTACTTAATAATTTTCTTAATATGATCAAAATGATCATGTATAGATGCCAAATAAATAAATATTTATTAAATTGATTGAACCAATCAATGTATTTTATTTTAACCAATCAGATTCATGTATTGACATTTTATCATGATATAAAATGAACCAATCAGAATTTTCCTTTTTTGTTTTTTTGTACTGCATTGATTTACTTTTAACTCTTTTAAATATTGTCAAATTGTTTTTCTTTTTTTTCTTTTTTCTTTTCTTTTTAAAGTTAATTTTATTTTCTAGATATTATCCTTTTTCTTTTGTTTGTTTTTTTCTTTTTTGGATTATTCTTTTCACTTGTTATGTACATAGTTACATGACTCCCAAAAAAAATATGATTTTATTTAGTTTATTTTGTATGATGACGTAATTTTGGGAGAAAAAATCCCCCCCCCAAAAAATGAGAGATTTTTAATATATAAATTTATATGACAACTAAATGTTAATTACAAGGCGCCATTATTTAAATAAACTTTAAGAAATAAAGATCAATAAAAAGTACTTTATTTTTTCTTATCTAAAGAATAGATAACAATTATTTATATAAATTTAAATCATATACATTCTGATTTAAATATATAACAATCTAAGTTGTTATATTTAAACAATGAATATTAAGAGGAAATTGATAAAAGGGAAATTATTGTAATATTAAATGTACTGTATTAATATGTATATAATTGGTTATATGGTTAATGATGATTTTGTTGTGTCTAGGCAGATAGATGGAAAATGTTTGACTTCAAGGATTAGACTACATTGGATTAATATATATGTATTGTGCCACTGTACTCCATTGTCGTCAGTGAGCTGATATCTCACAACAGACCTAGTTGAAGTCCACTAGTAACGGCTTCTCAATAGAACTCCATGGGTATCTCTTGAAGTCAATCACTAGTGAGGAGATGATCATTATCGGAAGGGGTTTTGTGGAGATTTTAGTAATTTCAATAGTTGAAATCATGAGTGATTTGGATCTAAACTGATAGTTTCTGGGTTCGAATCTAGCAGAGGGTTGTATCGTGGATGCGCAGTACTGAGGAGTTCCATACTAGGACGAAACGGCTATCCAGTGCTTTCAGGTTTTCCATGGTGATTTAGCTTCAATTGACTCATTAATTCAACTCATAAAAATTACTACGATCTTCACACAACCTTTTCTGATAATTATTTATGTTACTCAGTTTTGCACAACAACTAACTTAATTATGCACATATTGTGGTTTCCTATTTATAGTATTTTGTAGTCTTGTGATTACTGCTTGTAATCATATGAGATTTTCCGTCATGATAATGCAAAGTAAATCAAGTGTTTTTATGTCCTGATTGATAGAGAAGGAAAGAAATATTTACATGATTGTTGAGTGTCACAATAACAAGAGGTTGTTGGAGGCGATTAGTGACAGTGATCAAGTAAAGCTCATTTGTGTAGTTGATATGACGTGAATTCGTCATTACTGGAATCACTAGTTTAGTGATTCTATTATTTCGTCCCATAGAAATTGAATTATCAATAAGCCTGATTTCATCACGAGATAAAATTACCAAGAAATCAAATATCACAGGCTATATTTTATTCTGGATTCAAACTACTCATTGTGCCTCAGTTTGCTTCTAACACAGAATTGAATTCATGAATTACGGTATGGCTTTACTCTTATTTTGTAGTAAGCCAATCTGAACAATACACATATTTTTTCATAGCTGTGTTTAAAGTAACAAATTACCGTGGATTTCGGTTTTACTATCGATCACCCTGCTCTTAATGATGATTTATAGTGCTTTATAGCATCAAACTTATCTCACTGATTAGCGTTAACAAAAGACTTGCAAACACTGTGATATTGTTCAATACAAATATACTCATCCAGTGATTATAATAATTAGTCGTGATCTTAGTCAAATTATCACAAAAAATCCATTTATAGAGATTAATTAATTTTTAGGTTTAATCCAGTTTTAAGAGCTCAGTCTACCATAATTCGTTTAAAGTAAACATAAACTGATAAGTATAACTAGAATAAACTAAAATGTAAGCTCAATAAGTAGTACAGAATCTGCTGAAAATTATATGATGGTATATAGTAAGTACCAAGAAACTAAACAAGCGTCACACTGATTACTACTCGATGAAAAGTCAATTTTATATATTTCAGTCCTACTGAATATCACCGGGAATCCCAACATTTTATTAGTAACCTCTCAAATTGTGAAATTCACTGGTCTCGGTTCAAATCTCATAGGGAGCATCTTTTTTCATCAAAACCTCAGGTAGGCCTTACCAAATAGTACTGAATCTAGTTTCACGGTCTCCTGTTAACTACTTTAAAACATCACAAATTTAGATGGCAATGCAGATAAGTTCTGCAAAAGTAGTGCATGTTCCACTGATCCTCAGTAAACCAACAAAATGATGACACGACATTGTGTTGACATAGCAGCTTATTTGTTCTCGAGTAAATACAGTTAAACTAACACCGTTTACAAAATGGCTAACTGAGCATTGTAAAGTGTATGTATATGTATATGTATGTATGTATGTATGTATGTATGTATGTATGTATGTATGTATGTATGTATGTATGTATGTATGTATGTATGTGTGTATGTATGTATGTATGTATGTATGTATGTATGTATGTATGTATGTATGTATGTATGTATGTATGTATGTATGTATGTATGTATGTATGTATGTATGTATGTATGTATGTATGTGTATGTATGTATTTTTCTAACACTTAGCTAAGTTAGGCTACAACAGAACTTTTGAAAACTAATTGTAACTCATTTTTTAAAAACCCGAAATTTTGTCTTCTATCCTTAATTATTCAATTACCTATTTCTCATCTATTAGGAAAACCAGGTTATTTCCTTTTTGTTATTAATTAATAATATTTCATACTGACCGAGATAAGACTTTTCTGATCCATATTTTCACATCAACTTTTGTTATTATTTAACTGATTGCTTCATGACTAAATTATCTGTTTTCTCACCTTATTTTCATTTATACATATAAAGAGTTACTTTTTTTTCTTTCTTGATTTCATATTCTTCAATATTAAGCATTTCCTAAACACTTAATTTCTTATTATTTTCGTTCACTTCGTGAATACCTATTGAATCATTGTTCCATTTATGAAGTGGGGTTAGACAGGGTTGCCCAATCTCACCATTCCTCTTCAACTCGGCCATCGAGCCAGAGCGGCTTATGTCAATCTGGGCCATCATTTGCGCTTTCATGATATCAGTCTGGCTGTAAAAGGTCGGATCTATGCTTGTGAAACCTGGCCTCTCCGAGTTGAGGATGAAAGACGACTCTCTGTGTTTGATCATCCCTGTCTCCGAAGGACTGATGACATCCAGTGGCAAAATCATGTCAGTAATGCAGAGGTTCGGCAGTGTGTTCGGGCACAGAGACGATAATCCAATTAGTGTCACCATCTTGAAACAGTGACTTAGGTGGCTTGGATATGTTCTACGAATGTCGTCCCAGAGAATTCCACGTCGTGCATTGTTTGCCAACACTGGGACTGGTTGGAAAAAGCGGAGAGGTGGTCAGTGTATGATATGGTGTCGTGGTATGAAAGAAAGCTGCAAAGTGCTGGATTCAGTTGGTCCTTCATGACTCCCTGGATGGGGTCCGAGAGATAGTGCAACACAGTGGCTAGAGACGTTATAAGATATTGGTCAGAATAGAAGCCAGTGGTAATACTGTGTAACTTTCTTTTATTTTCTTCATAAAAAGTTGTTGTAACTTCCTTAACTGAAAGAATTCTTCTGGTTGTACCTTTCTATTTCCCCCACTATTATTATTATTATTATTATTATTATTATTATTAATATTACACTGCCATACACTAACCTGTGGTCGTTATTGTATTTTTTTTTCTTATACGCACCTTACATTCTTTTTCTCTTCTTATTGTTTTGCATGGCGCATCTATATCTGGTGCCCCCTTCTACCAATATTTATGTGTTCAAATAAATAAATATTATGTATCAAATCATTTCTATTGAATACTCTTAATATTAGAAGGAATCCCAATCAGTTTTCCATAGGCTAAATACAAAACTTAATACCAATATATCTGATATGTAGATAGATGACATTTTTTGTTCACTAATTCACAATATTAAACTTTAAAATTTCTTTAATTACTTATTTTTTAATCCATATATTTGTGAATAATTCACATTTATTCATTGACATTTAGTTTATTCCCTTTCGAATGAACAAGGAGATTACATAATAGTTTGACAAGTTTTTCTATGATGATATATGACATTTACCTTTTATGATTATTATTATTAAAGAAATAAAATAAATTTCATGAATTTAATGTTTCCTTTGTTAAACTATTTTATTTCATGTTTATGAATTCAAATTAAGAAACTTGCAACTACCTGACATGAATAGATACCAGTAAAGTCTTTTGTCAAACACACACACACACACGCACATACATACATACATAGATACATACATAGATGTCTTACCATAAAAATCTTATGCATTTGTTCATTTACATATTTTTTTAAAACTTAAATGTTAATTTTATGCCTAATGTGTGAAAAAAATCTGTGTTTTATGTTAAATGGTATCAAGGCAACCTGTATAAACGTTATCTGGGTAACATGGTATTTAACACTCTTCGATGAAATAGATCTAAGATTTCAGGTAAACTATTCATTGTGAATTCAACTGATAGAATATCTGAAAGTTAAGTTTAAACAATCCGGACTGTTTAAGTTTTTAAAAAGTGATATGAAAACGAAAAATGACCACATTAAAGTTCCATTTCATAAATGTTACGTTTTACTAAGATCTCATGTTTTATGTGTAAGTATAATAAATACTGATAATGTTATATCCGAGCATAGATTAAATCACCAGTAACTTCTGAGATATAATAATTGAATAATATTATCTATACATTCTTATGGTATAACTATTCAATAATTAGATTATGTATATTTATATT